CGTAGCAACGAACAACATCAGCCAAGATCCTGCCAATGCTGGCTTGGGGGGCCAACGGGTTATCTCTAGCTGGTAGAACACCAAGCTTGCCCAGGCACGTACGGGAGGACGGTGGGGATTGAACCCCCGACCTCCTGGATGCAACTTCTGTGCCTTACGAACTGAGCTAGGCCCACAGGCCTTGGAGGGCATTTTCGCCACCTGGAACCACAGTCCTCTATGTAGCGCGAGGTTCTGGAGACGGCGAAGTTTCTAGAGAGCGGAATGTTCTTCTACTGGTTTTCTGGAAGTCTCTGGTAGCACTGCGGAATGGTCCCGCCAGGTAAACCCGCGAGCTTGTGAAAGAACGAAAATCAGAGGTTATCTTGGAACGATACGGAGAAGATTAGCATGGCCCCTGCGCAAGGATGACACGCATAAATCGAGAAATGGTCCCAAAAAATAAAAATAAAAAAAAATCAGAGCAAACTCACACGAGGGACTGACCGTTAAAGCGGGACAGGTACATCCACCCGGAAGTCGTCTGCGAGTACGCCCTCGGAAAACTAAAATATTGCTGTTCCAGAAGCATCGTCCAGCCAACACGTCTCCGTCGCATAGACAAGCGAGCTCGCGTCGCCGTGGCTGCCCGACCGTCACCTTGTTCCTGTTTGGTGTTGACTGGCGTGGGGCTACCTAGTTGGGTGGAAAAGAGATGCATTTTCTACATATAAATATTTAATGCGGCCCCTCGTCGAGTAAGCAGAATCTTAGTTCTGCAATCTCGAATGGCAATCTAAATAGGAGCGCGTTTAGTGGGTACGCACATCCAACGCACGAGAGAGTAAGTGAGAGGTGAGGTGACGAAGGCGATCATTGTGTGAAGCATTGTCGTTAGGAGGAGAATACGAACGAATAGTGTGGTGAGTGGACGCCCCGCGCCGACACGGTGGTTGGAGTGGCTGCGTTGCGACGCTTGCTTGGCATTACGCGTGCGCGTGGCTGAGGGGGTCGATTTTTGTACAGGGTGCGAGTGCGCGGCTGACAGACGTGGTGGCAGGAGGCAGGTTGTAGTAGAAGCGGGTGCGTTCGACAGGAAGGAAGGGAGCCGCACAGTCGCTATGGCGCCGCGGCAGCAGAAGAGCGGGAGTTCGGGTCCTGCCATTGGGATTGACCTGGGGACGACGTACAGCTGTGTGGGCGTCTGGCAGCATGATCGCGTAGAGATCATCGCCAACGACCAGGGTAATCGTACGACGCCGTCCTATGTGGCTTTCACCGACACGGAGCGATTGATTGGCGATGCTGCGAAGAACCAGGCGGCCATGAATCCGGCAAACACGGTGTTCGATGCGAAACGGCTGATCGGGCGCAAGGKGAGCGACCCGTCTGTGCAAGCGGACATGAAGCTGTGGCCTTTCAAGGTGGTGGCCGGCAGCGGGGACAAGCCCATGATCAGCATCGGCTACAAGGGAGAGTCCAAGCAGTTCGCCCCCGAGGAGATATCGTCGATGGTGCTGACGAAGATGAAGGAGACCGCCGAGTCGTACCTGGGGAAGGAGGTGGGGAACGCGGTGATCACGGTGCCGGCGTACTTCAACGACTCGCAGCGGCAGGCGACCAAGGACGCGGGCGCCATAGCGGGGCTGAACGTGCTGCGGATCATCAATGAGCCGACGGCGGCAGCCATCGCGTACGGGCTGGACAAGAAGGACAAGGCGGGCGGGGAGGCGAACGTGATGATCTTCGACCTGGGAGGCGGGACGTTCGACGTGTCGCTGCTGACGATCGAGGACGGCATTTTCGAGGTGAAGGCGAC